TTTTCGACTATCAGGTGCTTCTCTGATAAGCGTAGTCGCTATCAGCTCCGCCTTGTTGTTTCTGGGGCCATCAAGCGATTTTTTAATTTGAATATTCGGGAACGGCTGGTAGCACGAGTTACCTACGATGTTGTCCTCAGTAAACCTGGGATATGGTCACTATGTGCTAATTGGGTTATGGGGGGGAGGCTGAGGAAGAATGGAGGAAGATGGTTGTCCGTAGGATGAGAGTGGTGTGGCTGTAGAATAAGTGTGTGTTTTTCAACTTTAGAGCTTCTGAGGATACAATCTGTTGTACCTGTTCTTCGTCCTCCAGTAAGTTCCCTCGTCAGGATGGGCATGTACTTTTCAGAATGAACGAGTCGGCGGATGCACCTGATTGGATAAAGAACAACAAAAATGTGACTCGCCCGTCTAGAGAGGATGTTGTGGGAAGGTTGAAACGATAGATTTGTGTGTCCTTTGAGAGATTGCGCTTCGAAGTGCCTTCTGTCCGTAGCTGTGATCTAATGCCGTGTATTGTGAGAAGCAAAATAGAGGATGGCGATTGTTGCACAGAGGAAGAAATGGATAGCCGAAGGGAGAATTTACGTGGCCTGGTACGGACCCCGATTGATCACAACCCAGGGGATATCCTGGTATGCTGCCCTTTATTGTATCGTAATGGGATGGATAAGCTGTTTTTGAGTAATCCGGGTTTCGTTGACCGGATTAAGACAGAGGAGACCCTATTGGATAACGCACGACAGGAGTACGTATGCACTGTTGGGATTGGAGAAGCTTGGAAAATGGGATACACATGGCAAATTGGGAAGGTCTTATGTAATCCCTAAAAGCACAAGGACGTGCAGAAATGGAGACCAGTATGCCCTTTTTTTCCGGAATGTAGTGTGAGGGTTAGCCGGAAGATCTCACAGGTGGTGAATCAGCTGGTCTTGGAGCTACCTGTTCGTTCCGATTTCAATCTGAGGGGCACGGATAGGCGGATTGAAACGATTGGTCTGATCACTAAGGACCTAAGGAAAGGAGACGAGCTCCTTACTGCAGCCCCTTTGATGTAAAAGATATGTTCTGTAACCTCCCCCATGCTTCTATTACGAATGCTGTCGACTGGTTGATAGATTTCTGGCAAACGCGAGGGGTGGGGGGAGTTTTTATCAGAAGTCGAGGGAAAGGAGCTAAGTTGTTACAGGGTAAGAAGCAGGAGGGTTGGCAGATGGTTGCGTTTGCTATCATCTGGGTATTCCTGCAGATTGATTTGGAACACACCATTTCAGCATGTGGGAGGAGATTGCAACAGAGGGTAGGGATCGCTATGCGGAAACCGTCGAGTCCTGCGGTCGCATTCCTATTGTGCGTTTTTTCTGAATTTTCTTTTCCGTCTTCTTTGGGTAGTGATCGATATTTGGTGCACGGGCTACGTCTGATTGACGACGTGTCCCTCTTTGTGAAGTATCGGACTGGGGATATCGAATCACTGAAGGAGGTTCAGAAAATCATGCGATGTTTTGAAGATTGTTACGATCGGAACCTCGCCTTGGAATGTACAGGTAGTTCGTCAAGCTGGGACTTTTTGGGATGTGTAATTCGTGTGTTCGATTGGCCAGTGGGTGTCAGATGCGTGCGGCGGTTCATAAAAACCAGAGAGTGGTTTTGAAGAATGGGTTATGCTTTCAGAATCTGCAGGATTACTGTTCTTACGTTAGCAAGAGGCAGAAGATGGGGTTTGTGGGGTCGTTCTTGCATGCATAGGGCAAAACGTCTCACCTCTATGCCAGCCGCTGAGTTTTTTTTTTTCTATTTTCGCTGAAGGTTGAATTGAGACTGAGGGGATTCAGGGATGCAGTTTTTGATAGCGTCCTTGTGATTTTCTCCTCCAAGTTTGGTGGAATTTGGGATGATTGGGTTACTTGTTTGACCAGGTGGGACAGATTCCTCCCTGGTGTGACTGGAACTTTGGGGCCCATGGGCCCGTGCAGATAGGGGGCACCTGTCTGTTGGATACTTGTGTTTTTTTGGGCTCAAGGGCCTGTGCAGATTGGGGGCCTGTGAGTGAGAGGGCCTTCAGATTGGGGGCCTGTGAGTGAGAGGGCCTTCTGATAAGGAAGGATAGCTGTTTTTGGGCCCACGGGCCCGTGCAAATTAGGGACCCAGGAGTGGAGGGCTTCTTGAATTGCTGTCCGAGTTTGGTCTGGAGGCTTCAGGGCCTGTTTCGGTGAGTGTCCGCAGAGGCGGTCCGTAGGCGGAGACTTCAGGTGGGGTACTGCGTACCCCAGCTTGGTCGTTGCTGAACGATATGCGGGTTTTTGAATCGGAGGCTTCTGAAACTTTCTTGTTTTCGGCCAATCTTGTGGTCTTGATCCTGCTTCTTCTTCTTCTTCTTCTTCCTCATTCTGCTGTTTCTTCATTGCTTCATTGTTCTTCCTTTCTATGTCGATGGTTTCTGTTCCTTGCACTGTGATATTTAGTCTATGCATGATGACTTTAGGTCTCTTTGGACTGACGTCTCCTTTTGATCGACTTATTAAGAGTGATTGTGCAGTTTTGTGCTTGCCAAGGTGGATGTACGCTCCAGCCTAAAAAAAAAAAAAGTGGTGCTGGTGCTTCGGCAGAGCTTGGCACGCAGTTCTTTTCCGCCTCAGCGAAAAGAGGCTCGAAGGTAGTCTTGTTTTAACACATTTGAAAGTAGTGCACCCGATGTCACTATTCCGTATAGCACAAAACCCAAACCATGCCATTTGCACATTTTTGGAAACACCACATTGGAGTGTAGTGCACCCTATGTCACTATTTAGTATAGCACAAAAACCAAACCATGGCATTTGCACATTCTTGAAGCACTAGCACACCACATATCGGCCCGCAGGTGTCAGCATGAAACCCGCCCCACGTCAGAGGCCGCTGATTTTTTTTGTCAATAGAGGGCCTGACCGCGTGGCGCCTCCGAGTTTTGCTTGTGGCAACAAAAACTTTCTGCAAGGCTGGGGCCGTGTAATCGCGGTTTAAGAAGCCTGACTGGAACCAGACCAGCAAGGCAGTTGCAAACCACAGTTTAACCACCACATGCCAGCTGGCGACAGCCAGTGATATTTTTAGAATGCCTGACTGGAACCACACCAGCAAGGGAGTTGCAAACCACGGTCTAACCACCACACGCCAGCTGGTGAAAGCCAGTGACTATGCCACTCTATCAGTCTCTGTACATATAGTACACGAACGACAGACAACCGTGGCAGTTCTACATTTCTGGAAACAACTGAAACAAACAAAACACACCAGCACAGGAGCAGAAAAGAACACAAACCTGAGGTGCGGATGACTCAACCCCCCCCCTTGCAGAGAGTAGATCATTCCACGTACGAGGTAGAAGCTATTTTGCTTTTCGCTCTCTTCTAGTTCGTTGAGACCTAGAAATCATTTCGCTTTTCCCTCTCTTCTGTGACCAGACCCTGGCCAGAAGTTTGCTCCATAATAAACCTTCCATGTGTACCTCAAGAAAAAGCAAAACTCTAGATAAMAAAAAGATAACCCCCAAAAAAAAAAAAAAAAAAAAAAARAARAARAARAARAAARAAAAARAAAAAAAAAAAMAAMAAAAAMAAAAAATTGAAAAAAAWAAAAAAAGGTTACAAAAAACTTGTACGTAACAATCCACACCACAAACTCTGGTTAGCAGATACACAGCAGTATAAGAAGGAAAACAGGGACACAAGTATCAGATACAACTGGAGAGAGCACAATTACAACAGATCTAGATGTTCCTGCATATTCTCACGTCATCCCAGGACAAGCAATACCATTTACACCGAAGAGCATTTTGTTAACAAAAAGATGAGCCGCAGAAAAAGTTCACAACTGTTAAAAAAGAAAAAAAAGGGAGACGAGCATCGAATACAACTGTAGCATGCAAAATTGCAGCAGATCTAAATGCCCATGCATCTTCTTACATCATCCAGGACATGCAAAGCCAACACCGAAGCGCATTTTGTTAACAAAAAGATAGGCCGCAGAAAAGTTCACAGCAGTCAAAAAAGAATAAAAACAGGGAGGCGAGTATGCAATACAACTGTAGCATGCAAAATTGCAAACAGATCTATAACTGTCCATGCATCTTCTCACATCATCCAGGCCAAGCAATGCCAACACCGAACGACATTTTTAAAATTCTTTTGTTAACAAAAGATATAAGGCGCAGAAAAGTTCACAGAAGTAAGAAAAGGAAACAGGGGGACGTCCTTTGGGACATCCGTTAAAATTGGAACGATACAGAGAAGATTAGCATGGCCCCTGCGCAAGGATGACACATATAAATCGAGAAATGGCCCGAATTAAAAAAAAAA